AAGCAAACTGCCTTTGTAACCAAAAAAAAAAAAGCAAAACAAAGCCAATAGCAAATGCAAACTAGCAACAATAAAAAAATCAAAAATCAAGAGAAAGGAAAACTAACCTTGATACTTTCAAACATTCGAACATAAGTTTGAACCATAACTAATTTACCCTTTACAATTTTATACTATTGCTTGTTACTTGCTAATTTTAAAATAATGTACTTTTAAAACAAGAAGAAAATGATTTTTTTTTTAAATTAAATTTTTATAAATAATATTTGAAGCACATAGACATAATATAATAATATGAACAAAAATGATATTTATATACTAAACACATACACTACACCAGATTTTACTGTTACCAATTGTGATTTCTGAAATATTATAATATTAAAATAACTTTTTAAAAATATATTTAAATTCTTTTTACTTTTAAATAAAGTGATATTTATATAAACTAGTAGGATATCTGTGCGTTCACACGATATAGGTATACTACGTGTATTTATTCTCAAAATATAATAAAAATAAAATAATTTTAAAAAAATTTATAAATGAGTGCATATAATTCTTTCAATATATAAAAAAATTTGAATGGATAATATATTTTTTTATATAAATATTATTTTTGTTTTGAAATTGTTGTAAAAAAATATTTAAGCCAATAGTAAAATTGTTCTATAAATATTCAATATTTTGATCAGTAATTTCATGTTTCCGTTAATATTTAATAATTTGATCAGTAACTTCATATTTCTGTTAATGTTCAATATTTTGATCAATAATTTGATATTTTTGTTAATACTAAATATTTTGATTAGTAACTTCATGTTCTTGTTAATATTCAATATTTTGATCAATAACTTCATGTTCTAGTTAATATTTAATGTTTTGATCATTAACTTCATAGTCCCGTTAATATTCAATGTTTTGATCAGTAACTCCATGTTCCCGTTAGTATTTAATATTTTTATCAGCAACTTTATATTCTCGTTAATATTCAATATTTTTATCAGTAACTTCATGTTCTCGTTAATATTAAATATTTTTATCAATAACTTTATGTTCCCGTTAATATTTAATATTTTGATTAGTAAACTTCAGATTGCCGTTAATATCAATATTTTGATCAGTAACCTCATGTTCCCGTTAATATTCAATATTTTGATCAATAACTTCATATTCCTGTTAATATTATAAATTAGGCATAATTGTAGTTTGAGTCATTTCATTTAATTTAAAGTTTCAAGAATAAACAAAAATATCATTTATCTCATTTCATTTCATTTAAAGTTTCAAGAATAAACAGAAAAAACCATTTATCCTTCTAACTGACAACTTCGGACGTTTGGTGACATTGAATCTAAAACTTTGAAAAAATGACCTTATTTTAAATTTTTTTTGAAATGTAAAATGTCATTACACCTTATTGGTTCAAATCAAAAACCAATTTTTTTAAAAGAATCTAACAATAAGGTTAGAAGTTTGTGGTATTGAGCATACTTTGCTTGAAATGAGGACTTGTGAATCAAGCAATTTCAAAAAACTTTAAAATATGACTACGAAACCGCATTCATCAAAACTTTAGGTATTAAAAAATATAACTTGTCAAAAATCAGTTAACTTACAAATTGACAGTTAGAATATTTCACTATAAATTGATAATCAGCTAACATTAAGACGGGATGTCACAAGTTTGAACCCGCGCTCCTACATTTGATGTCCTGAATTGACTTAATGAAGCAAAAACATACAAATTTCATACAAATACAAATTTGCCTACTATTAGCCTTAATAAGATGTCAATTTTTGCTTTAGCATTTTTCATATAGTTATTTTTTGTAAGGTGCTAATCTTTTGTTTATTTTTAGTAAAATGGCACGAAAGCATGTGTATCATTTATGGCACAAAGATAATTTGTATATAGGTCAAATAACATCAATTTTGTGCAAATTATACAAATTTAGTTCTGCAGCAAACAAAGTTTAACATTTCACCATACATCTGAAACTCTAAATAACTACTTCAAATTGTGTGTTGGATACAATCTATTGGGCGTAAAATCTGTCTTGTATTCTTTTCCTAATTAGTCAGTCATTTTTCATACATTGACAAAAGGCATGGAATAGGCTTTTGTCAACAACAATGGGAAAGTATCAATCAATGTGCTCGTCACAAATCTCTAGGACCTATACATTTTGAGTACAACTTGAATCCTCGTGGAAAACAATGCAGCAAGTGGCCAGGTACGAAAAACCACCAGTCATTCACAATATCAGGTACGAAAAACCTTGCAATAAGCTCGTATGTGATCCAACCAACTGACTCTCCATTATTTCTAACATGATCAAATTCCCTTTCTGTATATTCTAGAGATATCTGCAACCTTCCGCCAGGTTTGCAGTCATAAAAGGATCATATTCCTTTAATTCACACACTCTTCTCTAGCAAATAATGATAGTTGACGTGAAACAATTCCTTCAGCATATTCTGTTGTGAACAATTTTCTTTAAGCACCACCTGAATTAGGAACATGTGTTAGTTATTGACCCACGAATCACCATACAAAATGTTTGTCGCTATAGTTGTCTATCATGTTGAAAATGAATATGGTTGTTAACTTACACAGAATTTTACCGTATGACAACTTTCGTCTGACCACCCTCTCGTTATCCTCTTGCAAAACAGTAACAGTTTTAAATAAATCTTTGTATTATGTGACCACATGGCCAACAATATTGATCCTGATCTAAAATAATAGTGCCATCAGTATTTAGAGAAGAAACCAAGCTTCAGCGGCAATATGATTTTTGAGCTTTATCTGATAAATACACCGCAGAAACCAACATATATATGATCATACTATAAATTTTGTTCAATCAAACAATGACCAAATTGGAAAGTTCTTAGTTCATAATAGAAAACAATAAAATGTAACTATAACTTACTACATTAACGTTAGTTCGTAATGTTCAATTACCTAATAAAAGACCATAATAACATGCAGTAAAGCTTACAAAATAAAAAACTCAGTTTGAAAACTATCCCCTGCCTCATCTGCCGTAGAATTGAAAAATGAACCGGTTCAACAAAGACTCTTACTCGACGAAAGAAATTCCCAAACAACCGAGAGAGAAACATATAAAACTCAGTAGAAGGAATACAAATCATGCTGCAACAACAAATCCTTGATCCAGTCCAACGCACGCCCGCACTAAATCGAAATTTCAGCAAAATGCATGACATGTCAGAACATCTCTACAATTTTTCGGAAAATCGTTCGCCAACGCCTAGATAGCAGCACAACACATCACCATAATTTTTCTCATCAATCCTACTGCTAAGGCTATCTCAACGTTATATACTATTTCCAGGGGTGTTTTTCTCTTCTTTTGAATATCAGTTCTCACAGAAGTTCAGCCTCGTCTTGATCTTCATCACCGTCTTCAACGTCATTGTCTTCGTCTTCTTCAGGTGCATAAGGATCTACTTCCTAAACAAATGCAAAATCACAATTCTCAATCAAATTTAATTGTTAGCCTAGACCATGCATCTATTTCAGACAAAAACTAAAATAATCCAGAAGTGCAAATAATGTGGATTTAACTTCCAACTTCATGCAATACGCTAATGATTGAGTAGAGTTGATGAAGATTTGTATATGTGTGATTCCACGTAAACTGTATAAGCTATTTATAGTGAAACTTATAAATTTTGGTTGAATTGTGATCCAAAAAAAGTCTTCTTGAGAAATAGAGAATAAAGAATCTCGTTCCATGAATCGGGAACACCAGGGAGGCACCAATGACTACAGTCTTGCCGCTGCATAGAGGATGTACACTTTGGACCGATATAGTAAATAGATACATGGTTGTCTTTCCTGCGTGCGGACATTTGTGTTGTGGCAAGACATTAGCGACGGTACTGAAATGCATGTCGGTTCGAATGACAACCACCACCAGTATTCCAGTCACCACACTTGATAAGGAATGAAACCATATCAGCTAGAAACAATATGCCGAGGAAGAATAACATACAAGAATGACTCAAATGAGAGAAATTCCAGCGTAGGAGGCAGTTAAGTTACCGAAAGAAGATGAAGACCAGCAGGTCGGGACAACAATAACGACGAGGCGGTTGCTCTGTCTCTGTATTCTGATGGGCCGAGCACGTCGATGGTGGGGCCAGCATTGTGGCCAGTAGGACCAGCGTTGTTGATGCAGGCGTTAGTGTCGGCGACGTTGTTGTTGGTGTCGGCGAGACGAACATTTAGGTTGTTTTCTGCTGTTTGATCAGCCATGACAGTCAATTGAGTGTGATTAGCTTTTGTCTTGTGTGAATGGAAGACGAGAAAACAAGTTTTCCATAGACGGCGTCACTGATCGTACCTGACTGGTGGTGATCTTCCTGAGAATAACTGGGTTCATCCATGTGCGATGAGACTGTCTCCTCGCAGAGAGTAGTTGTTGCCCGACGCAGTCGAGGGAAGAACGTCTAGCATACTTTGAAGGACATAATTGGATTAGGCCTCACATGGAATTGGGCAGGTCCAATCAAATACAATATATATGATATATATATATTAGATGTTAAATAATTCAAAAATTTAATTTAACTATAAAGGAAAAATATATCATATCATATTATTAAAAATTTCGATGAACTACTTAAACAAACCACTGATATAAAGGAAAAATATTTCATATCATCTTATTAAAAATTTCGATGAACTACTTAAACAAACCACTGATAGCAAACTAACAATAAGTCAATAGAAAAGCAAATTAGAAAACTAGCGAATATAAGTCTCTAGTAAAAGCAGTCTGCTTTTCCGTGGTATTCATATATTATTTTAATAGCATTTTAAATCATATACATATTTAAAAATGTGAAATAGTAGGAATTTTAATAACTTGTTTCTACTATTTAAATAAAATGGATACGTCGGTTAAACCTTTCTAATATTATATATGTAATTGAGAAAGCTAACAACTAGCCATGCATGAATAATGATTAAGTATTATACAAATCAAACTGCTCACAACGGTAGCACTGAGATTGTCTATGGACTTTCGTCGGTAGGAAAATACCTTGTCCCTGATGAAACTAGAGGCTACTTGGCTTCATTCACTACATTTCTATGTTATCCTGCATTGTTACAAGTTTGGTAAGTTCTTTTATAATATTTTATAACTCTATATAAATTTGTATAAAGAAATACTTGTTTTGTTATTCAGGATGAATTTTAAGGAAGCAGTGGTTGATGAAGACATTGATTTGTTCAAGAAAGTACATGGAGTGACAAAGTATGAATACATGGGACAAGATAAAAAAATGAACCAAGTATTTAACAAGTCAATGGTTGATGTATGTGCAACGGAGATGAAAAGAATGCTTGAAATATACACTGGATTTGATGGAATATCAACATTGGTTGATGTTGGAGGTGGAAGTGGACAAAATCTGAAAATGATTATATCCAAATATCCATCAATTAAGGGAATTAATTTTGATCTGCCACAGGTTATTGAAAATGCACCACCAATTCCAGGTATTCACCATGTTGGAGGAGATATGTTTCAAAGTGTTCCACAAGGTGATGCCATCATACTAAAAGCTGTATGTCATAATTGGTCTGATCATAAATGCATTCAATTTTTAACCATTTGTCACAAAGCATTGTCACCAAATGGGAAAATCATTCTTGTGGAATTCATATTGCCAGAACAACCAACATCAACTCAAGAATCAAAACTTGTTTCAACTCTTGACAATCTCATGTTTATCACTGTTGGTGGAAGGGAAAGAACTGAGAAACAATATTTGAATTTGGGAAAACTCTCTGGATTTTCCAAATTCCATGTTGCTTGCCGTGCTTTCTCTTGTTTAGGAGTCATTGAACTTTACAAATGAAGCAATTACAACACTATCTTTGAGTTTTAAAATAAAAACTAAAGTCCTCTTTATGAGGTCAATGTTGTTATTGTTATGTACTTGTTGAAATTTCTATTTTCGGTGTTATGTACTATTTTGTGTATGCAATTTAAGAACATTTGTTTTGATTGTGTGTTGTGAAACTATAAGTTAGTATTATGGTGAAATATGTTCAAAGAATACTTTTATAATAAAATATGATCATTTTATTCCTCGGGTTATCAAAGAAATCGAAGGGTTAGATCATTTATTTTTATACTTGTAAACTAATAAAAACATAAAGACAGTAGCTGACATTCGAAGTATGTCTGAAATGGTATATCACCCTGGTTTTTAAAATAACTAAGGGAACAAGTTGTTTTATAAATAAAAAATGAAGCGTAAGTACATGATGTTATCTATGTTAATATTTAGGCCTAAACAATCAGGGAATGACATAGACGTATACTTGACACCTTTGATCGAAGATTTAAATATTTTGTGGGAGAACAGGGTGGAGGTTTATGATGGATATAGGAAACAAAGTTTCAATTTGAGGGCGATGTTGTTTGGCACAATTAATGATTTTCCAGCATACGGGAATCTATCTGTGTATAGCACTAAAGGTCAACGTGCATGTCCTGTTTGTGAAGATGGAACTGATACGACATGTTAGGAACTTTGTCAGAAGAATGTGTTTCTCGGTCATCGTAGATTATTACATTCTAAACATCACTACCGTGTGTGAAGAAAAGAATTTAATGTAGACACCGAACAACGTAAAGCTCCACCTGCATTGCCAGGTGACCAAATTTTTTAAAAGGTGAAAGATGTGTGTACTCAGTTTGACAAGTCTTTTGCGCATACGGTTGTCAAAGGTGGGTGGAAGAAGAGATCGTTTTTTTTTTAATTGTCATATTGGAAGTCTCTGTATGTGAGACATTTTCTCGATGTTATGCATATTGAAAAAAATGTATTTGAAAGTGTTATTGGCGCGTTACTCAATATTAAAGGAAAGTCTAAGGATGGCTTTAAAGCAAGGGAGGACACGTTAAAGATGGGAATACGAACTGAACTAGGACCCGTGAAGAAAGGAAGCCGAACATATCTACCACCTGCTGCTTTTACTCTATCTAGAAAGGAGAAAAAGATATTGTATAAGTTTCTAAGTGAAGTTAAAGTTCGAGAAGGATACTCTTCAGATATTAGAAGACTTGCGTCTATGAAAGACCTCAAGTTAAAGAGTTTAAAGACACATGATTGCCATGTTATAATGGAGCATTTTCTACCAATAGGTATACGTTTTATTTTTCCAGATAAAGTAAGGAGCGCGATAACTAAGTTGTGTTTTTTCTTTAGGTCAATTTGTAGTAAGGTGATTGATCCTGAGATCTTACCAACATTGCAAAAATAAATTGTTATTACTTTGTGTGAACTTGAAATGTATTTTCCTCCATTATTTTTTGACATAATGGTACATCTAGTTGTTCATCTTGTGAAAGAGACACAGTTGTGCGGCCCAGCTTATATGAGATGGATGTACCCTGCTGAACGTTATATGAAAGTATTAAAAGGGTACATGAAAAATCGAAGTCGCCCAGAGGGTTGTATTGTTGAGCGATACATTTTTGAAGAAGCGGTTGAGTTTTGTACTGAATATTTATCCAAAGTTCAATCCATTGGACTCCCCAAAAGTCATATTTTTGAAAAAAAGGAAGGTAAAAGATTAATTGGAAATAAAATTGTGACAGTATCAAAAGATGAACAGGATCAAGTGCATCTGTATGTTCTGCATAATGACAGTGAGGTTGAACCATATGTTAAAATGCACAGGGATGTACTCTGAGGGTTAAATCAGAATAGAAATGAAAATTGGATAGTACGAGAGCATAATCAAAGTTTTATACCATGGTTTAAGGATCATATTTTTTCAAAGCTTCATTCAGATCCCGCTTCAATAACAGAAAGGTTGAGATGTTTGGCATATGGTCCAAGTTTGCATGTGTTTTCCTATAGCACATACGCAATTAATGGATACACATTTTATACCAAAGAACAAGATGATAAAAGTACTATGCAAAATAGTGGTGTCACCGTGCTTGCTGAAGCAATGCACATTCCAAGTATGAAGGACCTAAACCCCAAATATGCAAATTTGTCATATTTTGGGGTTATCAAGCATATTTGGGTATTTGATTACGAGAAGTTTCAGACTCCTATCTTTGGTTGCAAGTGGGTAAGTAGTGGTGGCATACGAATGGATAAGTCAGGATTTTTGCAAGTGGATCTTAATAGGGAGGGGTACAAAGATGAGCCTTTTATTCTAGCCTCTCAAGCTAAACAAGTGTTCTATGTCACTGACCCGATGTTTACCGTGGAAATTGGTAAACAACCGCTGATCCTCCAAAAGGTTACTTATTTGGTGACTCGCAGGATCGATCAGATTGATCCTAAGACATGGTTGATTTTTGGGGTTTTGACTAAGTTTAATGATGGTTAATGACAAGAAAATAAAGACGCTTTATGTAAATTGCATGAAGAAAACTTGATAGAATAAAAGAAAGCTTTAAATGAAGGCTTCGACTGGGAAAAGTAAATGAAAGGCAATAAAGTTCTGGAAAATAAATGACTTTGATTAATTTAAATGGTGTTTCACACATACATTCTCAACAATTCTTTCGCTCACACTGGGTACTTGAATCTAAATGAGTGACTTGTATATAATTGTGAACACACGCGAAAAACTACGTGAACAACTAGTATTTATACTAAACACATCTCAAGTAACCGTCAGGCGGTTACGCTGCTTCGAGATGACTCCACTTGGCATGCTCACAGCATTCGACGCTCCTGATCTTGGCACGTTGCACTTGGTAACCGCTGGGAACCGTTTTTCCTCCAAACATTTGAATCTCAAACCGTTCCACTCTGAGCATCGAATACCTTTGTCGAGAAGCACCTTCGACGTCGAAGGCAACAAGATTCCTACTTAGAAGAAATTCTCTAAGTACCTTGCTATCTTCTAATGAGCATTTCGACAGAATCAGCTGGTCGAAACCATCCCTCATGATTAATGGTTTATATTAATAAAAACAAGGGTGTCGAATTTAGGAGCCAACAAATTTCCCCCCAAGAATGCCTTATTTCGACGCTGAAAAGAAAAAGGCATTCTTTGAGATTCCACTCGACACCTGTCCTTCATTCTTAGTCACAGATTAACCTGTGCGCTTTTTGTCTTCTACCAACCAACTGACAATCCCAAGAAAAAGCCATCATTCCATCTGTACCTAAGACATCACCTCAGTAAGGCGTTTAGCATGCCCAATGTCTTTTCACAGATTGTCATCATGACAATTTCCCAAAAACGAGGGTGCACGCTGCACCGTTTCGTTTCTGCAGAACGGCTATGTCAGCGAAGGAGCGCCACGTGCCCCACTATCAACTGCAACATTAAATGGCCTCGAATTTTGTGATTTCCCAACCTCTATAAATAGCGTTAGGTACCCATTGTGGGACTTTTTCACGCCATTCTGCATCCAAACCTTATTGTTGAACAAAAACTTCTGCAAACCTGCAAACACTTTGTTCTTCACTCACCTTCAATCTTAACCCAAAAATGGCTTCAGGTTCCTCTAATGCTCCTAGTTCCAACATTCCTTCTAGAACTGCTAAACCAAAAATCTTCTCAACTGCTCCCACAGTTAACTCTACAGGCATGCGAAGGGTTCCTGAACCCCTGGGAACTGCTGAGCGCGAGGCTTATTCTCATCAACTACTGATTCCGGTTGGATACTCCAACCAGATTTTCGCCATGTCTGGCCCGTTATCCACATGCATTGATGAATCTACGAAGATCAAGAACTTCTTCCCGGTGCTTGAGGCACCCAAACCTGTTGGGTGTTCCAAAAAGGATACAGATGACAACGAAGATCCTGCTAAGGAGAAGATAGATCTTCGCTTCTTCAATAGGGGTGTTAGGGCTTTTAGGCCTAGCCCTAGCCTTACACCAGACTACAGCGCTTGGCTAGAGAAGATGGAAAAAAGCCAAGCTTCGATCTGGAAGAACCTTGGGATTTATGACCTAGTCATGCTGTCAAAGACTGGTCTCAACTACTCCCCTGAGATGCTGATAGCCTCTTTGCTTTTCTGGGATTATACTCATTTCACTTTCCACCTGCCTTGTGGAATGCTAACACCCACCCTATTCGACGTGGCTGCCATCACCGGTCTTTGACCAACTGGGGATTATTTCGACCCAGAGGAAATGTCGGAAGACCAAATTGGGTTTTCAGCTACTAAACCCACCTATACCACCTATATCAACCACTACCATGATCGGTCGACAGCCAATGTGAAGGATGTGGAACACATTGCATTTTTAGCCCTTTGGCTGTCACGCTTTGTGTTCTGCACAAAGTCTCTTCAGGTGACAAAGAAAATGGTCACCCTTGCTACCCAGCTTCACCATGGCCAAAACATTTGTTTGGCCGAATTAATCCTGGCGAATTTGTATGATTCGATCAGCAGTGGAGCGACTCTGTTAAAGGTCATCGAAAATAGAGCCAGTTTGTTGCTGGCAGGACCCTTCTGGCTACTTCAACTATGGCTAAATGCCACTTTTGAGTCTTTCTTACCTCAGAAAACTCAAATAAACGAACAAGCTCCTGAGATAGCCAAAAGGCGTATCGAAGGCACCAGACTGGCGTTACTGACTTCGACTGAGGATGGGCTGGAACTCCAACAGACTTTTGCAAACTTCGTCTTGATGTTTGCAAGAAGAAAAGAATTCACCTCGACCATGGCTCCTTTCGCCCGTCGAAAGGTTGGTCCAGAATGGTTCACCAGGCCCCATCCCAAGTCGTCAGGTGACCCTCATGTCGAAGAACACACAATAATGTGGGAAGCATTTCTCACACCCAGAATAATGCCACTGCGCTTTAAGAGCTCCAAGAATCACCTGAGCTTGATAGCTTACCAGCCAAACTTGGTCTCTCGACAGT